TATATATATATATATATATACATATACATATAATATATATACTATACTATATATACATCTTATATTTAGTATATAAGATGTATATATAGCTTATCGAATATAGCTTATATATATACTATATATACATTTTATATACTATATATATTCGATATTAAATATTNTATATATATATATATATATATATATATACATATACATATAATATATATACTATACTATATATACATCTTATATTTAGTATATAAGATGTATATATAGCTTATCGAATATAGCTTATATATATACTATATATACATTTTATATACTATATATATTCGATATTAAATATTGAATATTAAAATTTAGGATGTTAAATAAAATTTAGGTCACAATTCTATAACAAAATTTACAAAAAATTGCCTTAGATATTTTTTTTAACATCCTTTTATCTCTAATATCTATTTAATTTTTTTTTTTAAAAACATATATATATTGGGCCCACTTAGCCCGCGGGCCGGGACCGTTTAGCCCGGGACCAAACGGTCCCGGTCCCAGGCCGGTCCTTACAAAAAGCCTGTTTAGCCCGGGCCCGTTTGGCCCGTTTAATTTGGGACCGGTCCGGAATCAGGACCGTTTGAACCGGCCCACATGGCCCGTTTAGGCCCGGGACCGGCCCACTTGCCAGCCCTAGTCTCCACAGGTTTAACTTATACGAGAAAAACAAATCTAAATTTATCACCCTGACTTTCGATTATGGTTTATATTTACCATTTTTTTCCTAAAATTTTACGCCTTTAGGTGGTGCCTTCCTTTTATATAATCCCAGCAAAAAGAGCACATAATAGAGGGGGACATTTCACCTGACCTTTGTTTATATTTTTTGGGACCCGAAAAACTGTCACCTTTGGTGGGACTTTTTTTTTTAAAATGTTGGGGTTAGGCTAGACCCCTACGATGACTATTCAAATGCAAAATTTACAAAAAGGAGGGGGACATGAACCTTAACCTTCAAAAGAACCTGACTGATGTAGTCTTCAAAGCAATTGGAAGAGAGAGCCTATACTACTCTTCCATATCTAACTATAAATTCAACTTACAAAGAAATTACTTTTGTCGTATCTTCTTCTAATACTAGGAAGTTGCCATTTGTCAAGTTGAAAATGTCCCTTCGCCTCTTTCGAAAGTTGTTGAAAAGAGTAGTAGAAGGTAATGTTTCCACCAGACGAGGCTAACTTAGCTAAAGAATCCGCCACTTAATTTGCTTCTCTAAAGCAATGGGTGAAGTGTACCTCTGCCCTACTGACTGTCGAGGTGATGTCTTTGATTTTCTTTCTAAGCTTGAGATTGTTGGTGTTTTCATTTTTCAGCATATTCGTCACAATTAGTGATTCCAAATCAAAAGCATGTATTCCACTTTGAAAACACTAGTCCACCCCATATTTGGCTGCTTGTGCCTCTGCTTGGTTATTGATATTGCATTGGATAGGAATTGAAAATGCCATAACCAAATCACTTAGTTCATTTCTGATAACTCCTCCGATGTCTGCTCTTGAATTGTTGCCTAGAAAACTTCCATATGTGTTAACCTTAAACCTTCCTGCCGCAGGCTTTTGCCAAGATACCTGTCTCCATACTACCACTGGTTTGAGTTGTTCAATGGTTCTGCATTGTTGAGCCCAAGTGCCAGTGGTTTTAATTTTGGGAAGGCAATAGAAAGAGCTACATTGATGGTCCATTGTATTTGCACCTCCATTCTTGTAGTAACAAATTTTTTTTATTCCCCATATTTACAAGCTGCCCAACTTCTCCAAATTTCCCAGAAAATACAAATTGGAATAATTTGAAGGAGTAGTTTGTGAATCGCATTTTTAGGCCTTGTATCCCTCAAATTTTTCAATACCATATTTGGAGACAAGTGGTGATGCCTAATGCCGAGTGATGCACCAAAGAAATTTCATATGTGGTCGGTAGCCTGTCCTTCAATGAAGACATGTTGGATTGACTCGCACATAGGATTTGAGCAGCAGAAGCACATAGAGAATAACTGATTGCCAAAGTTGTTAATTATTTTATCAAAATGTAACCTGCGCAAAAATAATCTCCAAGTTAGAAAATATATCTTTAAGGGAAGACTTTTGTGTCATACCTGAGCTAGAACATGGTTCTTATCCCTTTTGGCTAAGAATTTTGCTCAGAGTTTTGAGTTTACATTGAAGTCTCCATATTACATTGCCAACGACATTCATGTTCCAAGAATCTTGAACAATCTCCAAGAAATCTGTTTGTTCTGTCCAAAAATTAAGGAACCTGAAATACTTAATAAACTCCTTTTGATCAGAGTGACACTTCATCAAAAGAGGTATGTGGTCTGAACCTGTTCTGACCAGGTGCTTTCCAATGTAGCTTTGAAACCTTTGGGCCCATTGATCATTCACAAAAACCCTGTCAAGTCTCTTCCAAATCCTTTTACTAGGTCTTCTGTTGTTGCACCAAGTAAATTTGGAACCTACAAATCCTTGATCAGAAAGGGCACAAGCTTCCATGGTACTAATGAAATCAAAGCACCTATGTGCTCTATGTGGTCTACCCCCTAACTTCTCATTAGGGTCCATTGTGGAATTGAAGTCTCCCCCAATGCACCATGGACCATTGATCTGATTGCTCATACTTTCAATACTATCCCATAAGTCTCTTCTTTCCATTGAAGTATATTTAGCATACACAACAATAACATAGTTATCAATGTTCAAGTTGTCCTTGAAATGGAGAGTAATTTGTTATTCATCATTGATCAAAATAGCTTTATGATCTATGTATTTCCAGAAGCACCAGATCTTCCCATTGGAATTGGCCAAGCAATGGGTGAAACCTAGAAATCTCCTGTATCCGTCAATCTTACGCATATTCACAAAAGGTTCAAAGATAGCAATGAACATCACTTTGTTAATGTTGGCAAGATTTTTAAGTCTATGAATTGCCTTCTTGGATTTTAACCCCCTAATATTTCAAAATATTGTCCTAATCATGGCATATTGGGGTGGTAGTAATCTTTTTTTGTTCTCCCACTTTGCAGGATGATGAGGTTCTTGCTTTATTCTTCCTTTCTCTATTTTTTTGTCTGCTTCTGCCTCTATTGTCCTTTGAATATTCTTCATTGTTCGCGGTTTCCTCCTTATTTATAGATGATTGAATTATATTCTCAATTTTCTCCCTACTATCCTTATTTTGCTGATTGTGTTGCTGTACTTCATTTATATCTTTTGTCGAACTAGCTTCTGCTTCCAACACATGTTCAACAACCATCGTTTCCTTTCCATTTTTTTTCTTTGCTCTCATCTTGGCAGCTTTCTTCAAGCAAAATTTGCTGAACTTGTGTAGTAGCAGTAACCATTTTTCCTTTTCTCTTAATGAGATTACGAGAAGGCTTGAAGCTAATCTTACTTTTCTTTCTTGGCATCTTCTTCTTTTTCTGATTTTTTTTCTTCTTGTCTTTGACTCTTGTTAACATGATCTGCTCAATTTTTCCAGTGGTCATAGCTCTTTTGTTCATGTTCTCCTTCTTGTGTTGTACATCCTTGGTCCCTCCGTTGTTATCAATAACTTTGCTAACCTCATTGCTATTTTGCTGATTTTCCTTACTGCTTTCTTCTCCTGCTTGAATAAAGTTTGTTTCTTTATGACTTGTCTCAGCCTCTTTTGTTTCACTGGCCCTTTTTCCTTTCTAGATCTCTGCAATTTATCATGTTGTGGCCAATCTTTCTACAATGTTTATAATACTTTGGAACACTCTCATATTCTATTTTCTGAGTAAAGCCTTTCAGTGGAGAATCCTCATCTTGTGATCCCACATAAACACTTTCTATTTGAGATTTAAGGAGACCGATTTCAACTCTAACTTTAGCCATACTTGGTCTAGCTCGACCATAAGTGGCAGCATCCATAGCTAACGGTGTGCCAATTTCACTACATATTTGATTTACATAATTCCATGTATGCATATTAAAAGGAAGACCTGGGAGCAGAACCCATACCAGAACAATGGGGATATCTTCATCCGGCTTGAAATCAGGAGTCTATTTTTGAAGCCACATCTGCATTCCATCCACTTCAACAACCCGCTTGAACCAAACAGAATTGAAATCGTCTTCATTAGTAAAATCCAAAAACACATTATAGTTGTCATAGACGCCGATTTTAGCTGATCCCTTCACTGGAAAAAGTTCTCTTAAAGTAGACCTAATTTTATCAATTTGGGGCCTTGGCTTAAGAAATTTGCCAATGATGGTCAGTCTACATTTGTCAGCCATAATTCCATAATAGTCTGAAGCTTTGAAAGTCATAGCCGGCTTTCCGTTATGTGTTGTATGTCTCACAATAACTGATTCTCTGGCATGGCGGATATTGGTTATTTGTTTGGGTGTTGCCGTTATGATTGTAGTCGCATAATCAGTTTTTCCAGAAATTCCTTCGACAGATGGATTCGCCGTAGATGGAGGGTTAATTTGCTTATCTATACGCGCAATGGGTCTCCGTCGGACGGCGCCATAGGGCGGCGCATTTTGGAGACTCGCGTAAGGTTACCGTTTAGAAAGTAACGACTATATAATGTACGGAGAGCTTTTGGTAAAGTCTTTTTATGCCCCTACCTGACCTTTATTCATTACATCCAAAAGACCATACTTATAACTGTTAATAGAACAAATACAAAGATAGAGTAGCTTTTTTACCAATTTACAAAAATCACATATCAAATGTACGTAAGAAAGTCTATCTATGTATGAAAGGAGCTTTCAGAAAGTACTATGCAGAAAATTACATAGATTCAGTAACAAATTTTCTTCTTCCCTTGTGTCTAAATGTAGCCATTTATATCTTATCCATCAGATATGGGCCTATAGCTTGATTGGAATATAAGATAGAATTCCCATGAATGATGCTCCATTTAGACAACGCATATGCTACTTGATTAGCTTCACGATAGCATTAATGCTGGATTGAAACTCGCAAGGTTGCAAGAGTTGTAGAATATCCTTATTTGTGTCCTACATTTGCCAAGATAGATCGTACAAGCCTTTAAACAAGTTAACCAAGATCAAAGAGTCACATTCTAAAATCAAATTGCGATATCCCTGGTCGATGCACCATTTAACTCCAATCAATGCTGCTTTAGCCTCAGCTAAGTTTCTACTACCCTTCCCAGTGGTTGTGCAAATGCCATAATCAAAATACCATTAGAATTTCTAATGATGCCCCCTGATCCGATATTCCCTTCTCCATCCCTACTACCATCTGTGTTAAGCTTAAACCAATTTGCAACTGATTAATTCATCTAACAATAGTAGTTTCAACAGTAGAAACAAGTGCACATATTTATTGGCAGATGACATTCTATTGGTTGCCCCAATTCTTCTTTAGATTATTTGCAATAGACTGTCACGACCCAAAATTCCACCACATGCGTCGTGATGGCACTTAGTCTCTAAGACTAAGTAAGCCGATTATAATCATAATTTAAGCCATTTTTTTTATAAAGATATAATTTAATACACGTGTCGAAACTAAAAGTGAAATTTTTTTTAAAAACCTCCCAAGACTGGTAGTACTGAGTCACGAACTCTAACTGAATACATGAAATGATCGCAATGATCGAATACTTAATACTGTTTGAATAATAAATAACAGTACAATAAAATGGAAAGACTCCAAGGAACTACGACGACCAAGCAGCTCTACCTTGAATTCTTGCGATCCCACTCTAACTCTGTCCGAGTCCGATATCTCTAATACGTGGCTCTGCACAAAAATATACAGAAGTGTAGTATGAGTACACCACGGTCGATACCCAGTAAGTATCAAGACTAACCTCAGTGGAGTAGAGACGAGGTGCAGTCAAGACACTCATTAATCTAATAACTAGTGCAATATGATATACAAAATAATAGAAAACAAATATCAGTGATAGCAACACAGATCAACTAGTGATTTAAACAGCAAGGCAACAGGAATACCGTAAAATATTACTCAAACGAATAATAAACACAGGTACAACCAATTAATCAAGTCCTTTCAATATACATCTTTTATCTATAAGTTTTTCAATAAAAGTCTCTAGAATATAATCCTTTTCAATAAATATATTTCGAATATACTTCTTTCAAATAAATATCTTTCTAATATAATTCTTTCAAGTAAATATCCTTCCAATATAATTCTTTCAAGTAAATATCTTTCAAATATACTTCTTTCAAGTAAATATCTTTCTAATATAATTCTTTCAAATAAATATCCTTCTAATATAATTCTTTCAAGTAAATATCCTTCAAATATAATTCTTTCAAGTAAATATCCTTCAAATATAATTCTTTCAAGTAAATATCCTTCAAATATAATTCTTTCAAATAAAAGTCACCTTGTGACACCTCGTTTAACTTTCCTGGCATAAAAAATATATTCAGCATATCACATCAAATGGCACGGCAATACCTTCGTGCACTTGTCTCATTCTCACCCAATTCATATATGTAGATTAAATCAATTGGCACGGTAACACCCTTCGTGCATTTATATCTTTCTCACCGTGCATACATATAACAGTATCAACTAGGTGAAAGAAATGCCAATAACAATAAAAGAAATAAAGTGGAGGCACACAGGAAGCAACAACGACTACAAGTCACATAAAAAATAAAGGTGCACAATAATATCTCAAGATAAAGGCATGAATGTATACACAACAAAACGATATCACAATATAATGTATGTCTCTCGTCCTCGCCTGCACGAAAACACCCTTCGTGCCATGAATATATGATAATATAAAAATAATTACACGGCCTCACCCTTCGTGTTTTTACTCTCATCCTCACCTGATAATATAAATGAAATAGCACGGCATCACCCTTCGTGCTTTACACTCTCAAATGGCACGGCATCACCCTTCGTGCTTTACACTCTCAAATGGCACGGCATTACCCTTCGTGCTTTACACTCTCAAATGGCACGACATCACCCTTCGTACTTTACACTCTCCCACGCATGATAATATGGTTCAAATGGCATGGCATCACCCTTCGTGCATTACACTCTTCCTTACCAAGCAAATGTATATCATTAACAAGCAAGGTTGGAAGCATAAATAACATCAAGGAGAGTGTTTAAACCATAACACAATACAACAATTCATATCACAATTTGCCACTGACCAAAACCAAATTTCAAATATGTAGCAGAATCAATAAAGTCTTCAACAAATAGCCCAAGGCTCCACAAAACGTATATAAAACCTCAAAACAATCAACAGAGGTGAAAAATACTCAGTATTGGGCAACACCTTCATCAATTCAAATTCTTGATAATTATATTAACTCCTCAATTTAAATTTATTTAATAAATATTTGCAGATAAGGATTCAATCATGAATTTAATTCCAAGAAAAATATCAAATCAACAAACACACGCAATTCACATAAAATCCAAATGACAATAACACCTACTTATTATATAAAATACAAACTTGACAAATAAGGAATGAGGCATGATAATTCAAGGATTTACTAATGCAAACAATTGTCTAATTTAATACATAAGAATGCCTAAAACTTTAAACCAATAAAATTTGCACATATAAGCCTTAGTACGTACTCGTCACCTCGCGTACACGACTTTCAAATCACACAATTTTCACATAAGACTCAATGCCTAAGGGGTAATTCCCCCACTCTAGGTTAGGCAAGATACTTACCTTATTTAAGTTATGCCGATATTCCAAAATCGCCTTCTTGCTTGAATTGACCTCCGGACAGCTCAAATCTATCCAAATTAATTGTACCACTTTATTAAAATTCATCGAAAATAATTTCGGATAATAAAACACCAACTTAAAATTTTATTCTAAAAAGTCAGCGCGGGGCCCGCCCCTCAGAACCCTACAAAATTTTTACGAAATCCGAACACCTATTCCGATACGAGTTCAACCATACCAAAATTATCAAATTTCGATGACGGATCGCCCTTCAAATCTTAAATTAAAGTCTAGAGAATTTCTACCATTTTCAACCCACTTCACTAATTTAGTGATAAAAACAACACTAGATTCATGTAATTTAACCAAAATCAAGTTAGGAATTCTTACCCCAATATTTTCCTTGAAAAACTCTCGAACATTTGCCTCACCCGAGCTTCCTTGGTCCAAAAATGGAAGAATGAGACGAATTTGGATTTTATTCTGCTGCCCAGGGATTTGTTCTTCGTGTTCGCGACCCTTCTCTCGCGTTCGCGATGAACAAATTCTCCAACAACTATTTTCAAACTCTTCTCAGACAACCTCTAGTATAATGGTCATAACATTTTGTACAAAACTCCAAATGACAAATGGTTTAACTTTCTGAAAACAAGACTCAAAGAGCTATAACTTTTATTTGTTGCTCATTTCCTTATTCCTTATATATTACGAGATATAAGCTTCCAAAGTTAGCCCTATGCAATAGAGATTTCCAAACTCTTCCCAGACATCCTATAGTTTATCCACCCTAAATTTTGATACATAATTCCAAATGATAAATGGTTTACCTTTCTGAATACTAGACACAAAGATCTACAACTTTCATTTTTGGATCATCTCCAAATTCCTTATAGATTGCGAGATATGAGCCTCCAAAGTTAGACTATTGCAACAGAGATTTCCTTCTTCGCGAACGCGAAGAACAAAATCCCAGAAGTCAAATCCTTCTTCGCGAACACGAGAGGCTCCTCGCGAACGCGAAGAACAACATCAGATATCAGCAAATCAGCATCCAAAGTAGCCCAAAATGATCTGAAACACACCCGAGGTCCTCGGGACCTCAACCAAACATACCAAAGCGTCATAACATCATACGAACTTAGTTGAACTTTCAAATCACCTTCAACAATACTAAAAACACGAATTACACACGGATTCAAGCCTAATGAACTTAGAAATTTCCAAATTCCACAAATGACATCGAAACCTCCCAAACCACGTCCGAATGACCTCAAATTTTGCACACAAGTCAGAAATGGCACAACGAAGCTATTCCAATTTCCGGAATCGGATTCCGACCCCGATATCAAAAATTCAACTCTCCGGTCAAACTTTCCAAAAATTTATCTTTCGCCATTTCAAGCCTAATTCCACTACAGACCTCCAAATAATTTTTAGGACATGTTCCTAAGTCCATAATCGCCATATGGAGCTATTGACATCATCAAAATTCCATTCCGGAGCAGTTTGCTCAAAAGTCAACTCTCCAATTCACTCTTTACATTTAAGCTTCTAAATAAGGATTGTTCTTTTAATTTAATTCCGAATCTTCAGTAATTCAACTCGATCACACCCGCGGGTCATAATACATATTACGAAACTGCTCGAGACCTTAAGTCACTGAATGAGGTATTAATTCTTAAAACGACAAGTCGGGTCGTTACATACACCATTTAAGGTGTGAGAGTATTTGATGGAGTATTCTAGCCACATAAACTCTAGAGGATCCATATCTGACTACACATCTCGCCTTCCAAATCTCCTAGCAAAGAACTATAGGAGTAGTCCTCAGAATCTCCTGATGAATAAAATTCTTAGGCTTCATTGACCACCATCTTAAAATCATCAATTTGATGGGAATATCTTCCT